ACTTTTCAACTCTGTATTCAACCATTCCCCACGATAAATTAAAGGCCAGGCTTTGTGACATCATTGACAGCTGCTTTTTCAATAAAAATGGAACTCGTAAATTTACTTACCTTGTCATTGGTCATTTTCAAAATTATTTTGTTAAAAACATTCTGATTGTACACACAAGTACTCTGAAGTTGATATTAAAAAGATGCTTGAGTTTCTGATTGACAATATCTAGGTGGTTTTGGAGACCAGGTCTTCCAACAATCTGTTGGAATTTCCATAGGTACCAATAGCGCCCCATTGATAGCAGACCTATTTTCAGGTCACCTGAGTCACTCAAAATACCTATTTTTTTCATTATATACTTTACAGCAATCTGTAACAAATGTTATAAGAGAAATTCCACCTCTCCCATGGGGGTAATTATCAAGCACTGGTCAAGAAGAATTTTGATTACAGAAAATAGCATGTCAAATTAGAGAGAAATTAATGAATTTAGTGTAAGGAGATAACTGGTAGAGCATCTCTGATCAAGCAGGTGTTATCTATATCTCTTTGGAATTGGGCAAAGGAATCATCCTCTTAATTGAATAGTTTTGTTTCCTAGCTAGTCTAACTTTCAAGATAAATTTGATGTAAAGTAATTAAAACTAATTTGATATGTATAATATAATAAAAACTAATTTGATATTGTATAATATAATTAAAACTAATTTGATATTGTATAATATAATTAAAACTAATTTGATATTGTATAATATATATATATTTTTTAACTTTAATATCTTTACAACAAATTGCAGAGTGTCATGTCTCACTAAGATGACAAATTTATAGTCTACAGAATAAACATGATTTGTTTTGATGTTTTATTAGGCTGTATCATTGTTAATCAACCATAAAATATACAATAAACAAAGCTGCAGATGAGCATTTAAGCTCTAACAAAAACCAGTGGAGAAATATATGATGTATTATTTGATATAATTAATACATAAACCACAGGAGATGTATGTACATCAAACATTATAAGGAATGGAAATATCATTTTTGAACAATATTTGACGGGCGTATCATGCTGTGGCGGGGCACTTTATTTTAAATCATGATCCCCGGGTGTAGGGTAGGGCCACAATGGACAATGAAAGTTTTACATTGGAATACGTAGGAAAAATTTTGAAAAAATTCTTTTCTCAAAAAAGCAAAACAATAATTGGTTATATTTACATGGAAGCATCCTTAGATAGTATAGATTCAAGTTTGTTCAAATCATGACTCTGGGAATAGAGTGGGGCCACAATGGATGATCAAAGATTTACACATGAATACATATGAAAAATCTTTAACAATTTTCTTCTCAAGAATAGCAAAGCCATGATTTGTCGTATTTATATGCAAGCATCTTTGGGTAATGTTAATTCAATTTTGTTCATATCTTAACCCCCTCGGGTAGGGAGGAGGCACAACAGATGATCAAGTTTTTTAAATTAGGAATTTATAGGAAAGATCATTTAAAAATCTTCTCAAAATTAACAAAACCATGATAAGTCATTTTAATATAATTTAATTTTGGTTGTAACACGTCATTTGATTGGATAAAAAATTAATTTATATTGTATAACCTGTTTTTTTTTGCAGCTTTCAATTTATATTTTATGGATCCTCTGTGGATTGTTGTTTTATACTCAGGTGACCGTTAAGGCCCTTGGGCCTCTTATTGTATTCATATAAAGCAGAATTTATTCAAAACCTTATATATGAGAAAAAGAAATCTCTTGCTGTGGCCTTCAACTCGACAGTTAGATATATCGACGACGTATTATCAATTAACAATAATTATTTGATATGCAAGAGCATGCTTTACGTATGAACAATTTCTAAAACGAGGTAAGTTATTGACAAACAAGTTGTTGAAACAAGAATATCAACAGTCTCGTTTAAAGTCATCATTTCGTAAGTTCTATATGGCATGTCAAACATTGCAATATTCGATGTTTTCCATTTGTATTGTATAATTTTCCATTTGTATTGTATAATTTTTATTTATATTCTATAATTTTTCATTTGTATTGTATAATTTTTCATTTGTATTGTATAATTTTTATTTGGATTGTATAATTTTCCATTTGTATTCTATAATTTTTCCATTTGAATTGTATAAAATTTATTTGTATTCTTTATTTTCCATTTGTATTGTAAAAATTCATTTGTATTGTATAATTTTTTATTTATATTCTATATTTTCCATCTGCATTGTATAATTTCTTATTTGTATTGTATAATTTCTTATTTGTATGCGATAATTTTTCATTTGTATTGTATCCGAGGTATTGTTTATTTTTTTCGTTACGAAGGATTTCATTTGTCAAATTATAGTCTTTTTTTTTTAGCTCACCTGAGGTGAAAGCTCAAGTGAGCTTTTCTGATCACCCGTTGTCCGTCCGTCCGTTTGTAAACTTTTCACATTTTCAACTTCTCAAGAACCACTGGGCCAATTTTAACTAAACTTGGTACAAAGTATCCTTGGGTGAAGGGGAGGTTCAATTGTTAAAAAAAGGGCCAAGTCTCCTTACAAGGGGAGATAATCAAGAAAAGACAAAAAATAGGGTGGGGTCATTAAAAGAACCACTGGACTAGAAAAGCTGAAACTTATATTGAAGCATCCTGGGGTAGTAAGATTCTAAATTGTTCAAATCAGGACCCTCGGGAGTAGAGCGGGATAACAATAGAGAATCCAAGTTTTACATTGAAATATATATGAAAAATCTTCTCATGAACCACTAGACCAGAAAAGCTGAAACTTACGTGTAAGCATCCTGGGGTAGTGAAGATTCTAAATTATTCAAATCAGGACCCCCGGGGTAGGGCGGAGCCACAATAGGGAATCCAAGTTTTACATTGACATCTGTAGGAAAAATCTTTAAAAATCTTCTTCTCAGGAATCACTAGACCAGAAAAGCTGAAACTTATGTGAAAGCATCCTCTGGTAGTGTAGATTCTAAATTGTTCAAATCATGACCCACGGGGGTAGGGCGGGGCCACAATATGTATTACAAGGGGGGAAATCTGGTAAAGAACAGTATGGCCAAAATTACTCATGTGAGCGATGTGACCAATGGGCCTCTTGTTGTAGTATAGTGTTCAACCAAGCGAGATGTTTCGGGTGTACTGTTCTTTTCTATTGGTGTGGATGCTAAGGAACGGTCATTTAATTCTCAAGGGGGGGGGGGCAAATTTTGTCGAATCAGATTATTTATTTTCATGCTCTTGCAGGAGAGAATATTTATTTCCAAGATGACCAGAGACAAGGAGAAGAAGTAGAAAAAGAAGAAAATCTGCACAAATCCGAAAACTCCATTTCTTGGGTGTGTGTGTTGGGGGGGGGGGGGGGGGGGAGAGGGGTACAACAAGTCAAGATCAAATTATTTATTTTCTCAGACAACATTTCTAAGGACATACATGTATTATTTATTTGCCATCTGCCAGCGCTCCCTTTTCAACTAAATGGCCGTCCTCTAAGATGCACGCAAATACATATGAGTCCAGTTTGCTTTGAGCACTCGGAACATCTCGCTGATTTCCAACACGATACAGGCTAAAAGCCGCAAAA